TGATTTTTTTTTATGTTTGGTTTATATTTTTTATTCATACATGTGTCTAAAAACAGGAATCTCATTATTTTTAAAAAATAGACTTTATACCTTACAAAATCAAATGTACATCTTTTAATCTTAATGAAATTATTTTTATAATCTATAACATAATTTGCAAAAAATCAATAATATTTCTTTTGATTCAATGGTTTTTTTATATTTTTTAATAGAAATGATTATTTAGATATAATATTACTTTTTGGCATAAAATCCTTTAATATAATGAATAATTTTTTCATATTATTCATTATATGAACTATTAAATTAATATCCATTTGAGACAATATACACATTAATTAAATCCAATAGTATCTTTATAGAATTTAATTTGTATACTTTATAAAGTCAATTTAAAGAAATTATTTTATGAATAAAGGTCATTTAATAAATTGATTTTTCTTCTAGCAAATACTTCTATATATTTATTATTAATTAGACTTGAATCCATATTTATATTAGTTTTTTTATTTACATATTGCATGCCTTGAATAAATCTCATTTTTTTGTTTTTCTTTGGTATTATAAAAAATTAATTAAAATAAAGTCTTACACATCGTTTCAAAAACTTCATTTTAATCTTTTTATTAAAAAAGTCTATTAACTCAGATTAATAATTTTTTGTATTAGAACTGGTTTTAAATTCTATGGTTTATAGAGAATGGAAGAAATAACCATAATTTCCATAATACTTACATCAACACATCTAATTTTATATAACTCAAATATAAATATTTCATGAAAGCATGTGTTTAAAATAATATTTTTCATATTTTATCAAAAATTCTTCACATCTTATTTATAACCCATCTAACTATAAATTTATAAATTTGAATCTTATCTTCTTAAGATCCCTCAAACTTTGTTGCATATATGCTCAACTCACTATTTCTTTACAATTAGATGGTAGTAGTAAAGCCACTTGTTTAACATTCTTTAACATTGATTTATACTAAGTTTCAATCCATACCTCTTAGTCATTTAAATTTTTGAGATTGAAGAATTTTCTTTATTAGTTTTTTTAAATTATTTAAAAATAATTTTTTTATTATCCAATCATTTTTTTTTTTAAATAATTATGTTTTAATGCATGCAAAATTTTCTCCTATAAACTTATAAAGTATAATATAATAGAGCTTATACATTCTTTTATGTCTAAAAATGTAGTAAGTTCAAAAAATTCCATCAAATATATGTAATTTGGTCTAGTTTAGTAGTTTTCTATCTACTTAGCTTTTCTACTAGTTGACTTTGTTAGTATGAACTAAGGTTTGAAAACTGAGGTGGAAAAACCTCCTTGACTTATTATTCTTATCAAACCAAGTCTTAAGAGTGATTTTAGAGAAAGAAAGCTTGAGTTGTAAGGATTTGTTTGGCTATGGTTATTTAACCATTCAAAAAAGCTTTGATGTTTTATCTACTCACACTTGCATTCTTAAATTTCTCGTATGTAGTGTGAAAGGTAGCTTGACTTAGTTGAATATAGATTCATCATCTTTTCTTGAAAGTGTCTTGATTGTGTATTTATATTTGATTTAGATTGTATACTTTGTGATTGATTTATAACACTCAATATGTTGTATGTAATGATCTTTGTTTACATAACACCATGCATTTTCTTTTACAAACATATATATAATTTTTTATAATTAGAAATAAAGATAATTTTTTTATGGCAATGTATAAAATTTTAGTCATTATAAAACAACTCATTCTTGGATATATATATATATATATATATATATATATATTAAAAACACTTGGTTTATATTTTTATTAGATTATGCTCAAAATAATCAATTGCATTTCAAATCACACTAATTCAATTCTATGAATTTACCAAATACATGAATTTTTTTTGATAAAAATAAATAAATAAACGTTTTAAATGCTTTTGAAAAATGTTCTATAGCCCTTTTTCGTTTAATTGACTAGGTTTTGTAATAAAATATTCAAAATTTTCATTGTATAATCTTAGATGACAAGTACACAAGAATGTTGCTGCTATCATCTTGCAATGCAACCATGACCTCACATTAACACTACCACTACCAATCAACAATTTTTTAGATTTTTTATAATTTTTTGAGTTTTTTATATATAATTAATATAATAATTGCAACTATATAAAGATGTATTGATATATGTTGTTATTACAAAATTTCTTTTCAAAGATCTTTCAATGTGATCTACATTAAGAACTTAATCAGATTTATTGTCTTTGGTATTAATGAGTTTCGTATGATTCTAATGTTGAAATTTGCATCTCATTGTTAAATAAAAATTAAAAATTAAAAATTAAAAAAAATAAAATTTTGTATAAAAATTATAACACTTATTAACAAGTTATCTATTATAATTTAAGTGTTGTATGTATATATATTTTATCCAGTTTAGTTTTGTTAGAAGTAATTTTACAAGATGCATACTTAGTCACTCTAAATCCAACTCCAAATATCTTTATTAGAAACCAATAAATATATATATATATATATATATATATATATTTGAACTATCAAATCAAATTAATTTACTTGAAAGCAGGCAAATTTGCACAAGATTGCTAGCAAATAACAAAAACAATGTTGTGTTACGTGACTTCTAGCTTAGGAATGCGCGGAGCATTCGGCTAGTTAGGGAATGCCCTGCCAATCCGTGTCATGTGGGACCTAAAAGTGTAGGATCCATCAACCTCGGGATCCTTCGAAGATGCCAGATTGAGCAGTGCGATTCTGCGAAGCCGCGCGCGCGAACTTGGACTCTTTGATGGTGATGATCTCGCTGTTGCACTGCCTGGTCGCGCCGGTTTCTAGACACTGCGTTTCAATCAGGTGCCCAAGGAAGCTGGAATAGCAGTCATCCCCGACCCAGCACAACCGTTCCGATCGAAAAGAAACAAAAAAGGAGATCGGGTAAGGTTAGGAGCTGGATCTGATCGACTGCGATCGTCCAGCATTGAACTACCGAGTCGCAGTCGTTGAGTCTCGTGTTCGTGTGTGCGACGCTGGCGTCATCATGCCGTGCATGAACCGATGAACACAAACTCCTCGGTGATCGTCCATTGTCGACGGATGAGATACACAAACTCCTACGGTGTGGAATTGGATAACGCGTTTCAGGAATAGAAACTGCAGGGATTTGAATTTTTTTGTCGTTGGCATCATGGCCAGCTCCAGGATAATGTCCTCTTGCATTACTTGTTCCGCAGATGCCCCTCCAAGTTGAGCCCCATCCGCCACATCCTCCCCCACTTCTACCCCATTGACGTTTCCATATTTGCCACCGGATCCGAGTGGGGTACCCAGGAACTCACTATTCACCTCTTTGAGCACAGTTCATGGTGAAGCTGAACACTTGCAAAGGCAAAATCATTTTGCAGTCGGTGAATTCACATATAAATAACAAATGACATTTCTGGAAATTATGGGTGCCAGACAGTTGTTCTCTGTTCTTAAGAATGACCAATGAATTTATTTTCGCTGCAGGTTCTTTTATCGTCGTCCTCGTTCTTTGCTTCTTCGCCTTGATTCATCGTCACTTTTCCATCACGATTATCTTTTTCATTTTTTGAGACATCGGAGAGTCATCATTTCTCTGCAACGTCCATCCAACAAGGTTGCAAATTTCACTGCGGGAATTTTGGACCTGCCATCCTTTGCTGGTAAAGGTCATTACCAACCATTTCTAACCCGATTATTATCTGTTAATCTGTTTGAGAGCTCTTCAGGAACAGCTTAAAATCGACGAGCACCACAGCAAGGCAAGGCTAAGTGCATAGGGAAGCGTGAATGCCGTGTCCGTCAACCCAGTCAATGAATGATAGGGCCCCTGGACTCTGAGTCTGCAACTTGCCAAGGGCACCTGAGTCATGTCTAAAAGTGGGCTCTCCGATCACCACAGAAAAACAACTACACGACACAATTCCATACCAATTTTCTTATCTTTTGTGCCTTTGTTTGTTTCTGCGTTTGTTTTGTTTCTTCCCCTTTGCTGATGTTCATGTAAGACGGAGGCATCCTTCTTCCCCTGCCTAGCTACCTGGTGTTCATGCTCTTTTTGTAATAAAACCTAATGAACATCAATAAAGACATCACACACACACACACACACATGTACATAATTCTACAATCTCTGCAAGAATTCTTTTATATTTTAGTATTATATCATAATAAAAGGAGAAAAAAACTTATATGTATTCAATCAGTCTAATTTTTTAAAAAAATCTAGAAAGTATAACCACAAAAATATTTAAACGTATGAAATATTGCACACCTTTTCTTTAAAAGAATGCAACGATATTCCACTAATGTTACACAATATCATTCTTCTAATTAATTATTATTCAGTCTCAGAACACTACCTCCACGACTCATGTTCACCAAACAGCATTGACAAAAATGGACATTTCCAACAACGAACAGCCCACTATAGCACGACCCCAAATCACAAACATTTCGATGAAGGCTGGTGGGTCACATTTCAAGAGCAAGGGAGAAACACGCACATGGTGTCGTAGCCAAAAGAAAGAGTCCCTCGCAGAGTAGAAAAGAAATCACAGATTCAGAAGAAAGAGAAAGGGAAAGAAACATTTTTGCCGCATGGGGCACGACATACCCGGAATAACTGTGCTCATAACGAGAGGGGAAAGCAAGAACGCGTGCGGCTTCGTTGAGAAAGCTTATATTAGGCAATCAAGGCCTGATCTTGGTGAAAGGCCCCACAGTCCAACGTCGAACTGGACGGACGCCCAATAGCGACAGACACAGCGAACACGACACAAACAAAAAAAAGAAAAAGAGGGAGGGAGAATAAGAGAGAGATAGGATCGGATAAATGAGTATTGCCGTGGTTGCGTACTCGCCCCTACCCCCACTTGGCTCCTCATGCGGTGGGCCCCATTTAGTTAGACGTCGGTGGACAGCTCAGAACTTCCCACATGTCATGCAATGCGTAGCGATTGCTTATATGGCCTGTCACTTGCAGTCCTCGGCTCCAAGTCTGATCGAATTGAACTTGGGGAGGGGGGAGGATCGTCGTGTAAGTTCAGTTACGGTGTTTGGCACTCGATTGGGAATGAGAGATTTCAGTGTTTTACTCAACACTAGGAAATGATGGGTATTTTGGTGCAGTTTGTGGCCGATAGCGCGTTTTTCTTCCTAGTGCCTCGAGTTGATCAATCGTCATATTTGAACCTCGCCAGGAACGATCTTCACTTGCAAATTTTGATATGAGTAGTTCGATTTGCTCTCAATCATAGGAGAATCTGATATCGTTGCACTCCTTTTCGAAAAAACACTGAGGAAAAAGAAAAAGGAAATCCATCTCGCGGTTTTCTGTGATCGATGGTTCATTGCATCTAGTGGTCTTTGCAGAGAAGTTGCGCTCGACATGATTCCGCAATCGAGCTCCTTATTGACGGCGCACAATGTGACAATCGTGGGCGACGGTGACCAGTATGTAGTGCTCAGCCATGGATTTGGATCGGACCAGACTGTGTGGAAGTACCTGCTGCCATATTTGGTGAGCGATTACAGGGTCCTACTGTATGATTTGATGGGTGCCGGCAGCACCAACCCCAAGGATTTCAGTTTCAGCCGATACTCATCCCTTCACGCATACGCCGACGACTTGCTCGCAATCCTGGATGAGCTAGAGATTGAGAGCTGTACCTTCGTGGGTGCGTCTGTGTCTGGAATGATCGGCTGTCTTGCCTCAATCGAGCGACCAGAAGTGTTTACGAAACTAATTTTGTTGGCATCGTCTCCGAGGTACTTGATATGTCACTTACACAGACTTCTTGTATTTTGTGTCAACTCTTTGAATTCGTTGACGGCGTCAAATGTTGCAAGCTTGATTCATTCCTACAAAAATATTCCGTGATTGTTTCATATAGTATTCTATTCTTGGGTCGAACTTTGTAGGCTGTAGCCAGACTGAGTGCTGACATGTTTATTGCTATTGCCTGCCTTAGATACTTGAACGATGTGGGCTACTATGGAGGATTCGACCAGAAGGATTTAGACCAGCTCTATGGAGATATGAAGTCCAATTTCAGGTCTTGGGTGACTGGATTCGGGCCGTTGGCAATCGGAGCGGACCTCGAGAGCTCAGCAGTGCAAGAGTTCAGCCGAACTCTGTACTCGATCCGACCCGACATTGCCCTCAACGTGTGCAAAACTATCTTCCAGAGCGATCTACGTTCCATATTGCCACTGGTAATAACTCCCGCGTTCACAGATATCTCCTATCCCGCTTGCTGGTTGCAGTTCGACTCGCCTTGCCTTAACAAGATTGTCACGAGAGCGCAGAAATCGATAAAATCCTCAAAGTCCGACCACGTGTTTTTTCATATCTGTTCCGCTCGAGGGGAGACTTGCATATTGAACGCGATGATGATCGTTACTGTGCAGGTGACGGTACCTGTTTATGTCGTCCAAACGAGGAAAGACATGGCAGTGCCGCTCCAAGTGGCGAATTACATGGTACGGAACTTGGGAGGGTGGACGATGATGGAGGTTCTGAACACGGGGGGCCACTTGCCGCACTTGAGCGACCCAAATGTTGTTTTACCCGTGCTTCTCCGCTGCCTTGCGCCGTGACATCACTCAGTTCGCACTGCGTAAGACAAAAAAAAAAAAAAAAAAAAAAAAAAATCACTTTTTCACACTCTGAAACAGCTCGAGAATTTTGCGAGGATGCTGAAGGTTTGTGCCAGCAAGCGAGTCGCGAGGAAAGAACGAAGCTTCAGGCGGTGCACGCACTCACCCACCATAGCCACTCCCTCCCACGTGCCGGGCTGGGTTCACGGTAGTTGACATAGCGGGACGAAGACAGACCGACTCTCACCAGTCATCGTTCGTTCCCTCGACGGTCATTGTTCAGGTTTTGAACCATTCCTGGCTATCGCTCGAGTTTGAACGATCTCTGATCGTCGTTAGAATCCCCAACGAATTCGTGGTCATCGTTTTGATTTTGAACGGACTTCCCCTTGACGATTTTCCCACGACGACGAAGGACGACAAAGTGAGAAAGGGGAGAGAGAGGTATCGTTGAGCTTCACTGTTGTCCATATATAGCCATAACATTTGGCCCTACTTATTGAGATTTCATTTTACACATACAATAACACGTGAATTTTTGTAGCATGTTTCACTTTGTGGTTTGAATTTTTCTTTTATATATTGGTGCAAAGGTTTATGTAATTTTTTTTTTTTTATTTTTTTTTATTTTAAATGATGTTTTACTCTTTGCATGTGTAATGGTTTATTCTGTTTGTGTAGAGAGATTGATTTCAGTGTTTAAGTTTTAAATTTTAAAAAGAAAAGGACATAAAATAAATTACTTAAATGAAACTACATTTTTCAATTGGCATATAGCAATTATTATTGTTGTTATCTGTATTGTGTGAAAATGTGTTTGCATATAATAAAGTCTCGAGTTCTAATCATCAAATAAATATTATATGGTTTATGTTTATAACCTTCTATTTTAACATGTACAATCAAATTTTAGAGCAATAAAATTTTCAAGCTAGATGTGAACAAAGAAAAAGCCCCTACAACAAATAAACCAATTTATAGTAAACCATATAAAATAAAAATAAATGATAATAATAATAATAAAAAATCAATCATATTCATCTGAAGTGTATGACTAATTGCAAATAGGTGCTTCCAACAAAAGATGATATTAATTTTGAATTTGGATATTTTTTCAATTGACTTTGACTCATTGTCAAACTTTTAATTCAAAGATTTGTTATTTGTTAAATATTAATAACTATGCGATTTAATTTTTTAGAAAATTAAATCACATATCCTAAGACCTAATTTCTTTAAGACATCAAATGAATCATTATCAACAATTTAGAAGCATTGCACATTCTCAATCTATTATTTCAAGTCTTTATAAAGTCCAAGGCATGCTTGGATGACATAGATATAGCACAAGTACTTACTCAAGAGATATTGTAAATAGTGGAGTATGGTCTAACATTAAGCAAACAAGAAAATCAATTGTACAAAAAACTTATTTCAATGTACAAGGACCTTTTTGACACCCTTCATGCCCAACTTCCAAGCATTCCACTTGAGTAACATACAATTAATTTGATTAAAAGGAGAACAACTAGTAAGAGCTAGACAAAATTATTTGGTACTAACAAATACTACATATGTAAAAACAATAGCTATAGTTTCAAAAAAATAATACAAGTGGATGATCTTCATGAATTACTATGTCTTCAATCATATTACTAAAACATATAAACAACAATTATTATGTATGAATGAGTTGTTAGACAATGCAGGCGATTTCAAGTTTTTTATTTTATTTTTATTTTTTTATAGACAGATATATTAGATACCAATAAATTATGGTACATAAGGCAGATGTGCCTAAGACAATGTTTACAATACCATAGGACTTGTGCACTTAGAAGAGACTATTCTTCAAACTCTACAACATCAAAAAAAAGTTATTAGCTACCTTATTGAGAGAAGTTGTCAAAATCATGATCATTATTTAAAATCTATAATCTACCAAAATTATCTATAATATCAATAAATACTATACAAGTTACTTTTTGGTGAGAAATCCAATATCTCCAAACTTTGTATTTTTGGCTTTTTAGTATGTGTTCATATTCTATCTATCAAATGGTCAAAACTAAAGTCCTACATCTAAGAATATATATTGTTTGGCTCTTACAATAAAGTAGAAGGTTATTAATACTACTACCCTGGAAAGGGCCAAATTATTATATGACATTGTTGTGTTGTAACTCACCTATTAGATGAAAGAAGAAAGAAAAGATCATATTATAGAGGACCTTAAATGAAAATATTTTAGAAAATTATTTTTAAAATATAGATAATAGACAAAGAGGAGTTAAAAATTAATCAATGTTAATATTGCCTTCTTGTAAAAGAGGCCTCTACTTATTTTGTAAGGCTATAATTGAAGGAAAAAAATAGATTAAAAAAATAAATCATATAAGAATCTTTAAAAAGAAGTTAAGAATAAGTTTTAGTAGAAATTATTCCAAAATACCAAGAATTGATACTTGAAAAGGACAAGATATGAATCAAGATCAAAATCAGATCTCAAAATATAAAATTGCACATGTATAACAATTCCAAGGTTCTTAGGTTGATCAAAGAATTTAGTCTGAGAGAAGATTAATGAAAGATTTTTTCAAAGTTGGTTTTATATGATTTGGAGGCATATTGAGTTTTTGAGGGCTTTCCAAAAAGAAGAAATTTACTTAGTGGTTTTGGATTTTAAGAAATAAAAAAGAGGTTTATAATTTTGAATATTGTGTGAATGTTGTAGTATATTTATAGATGAAATTTTGTAAATTTTTCATTGTACTTAACTTTAATGTATTTAAAATATTTGATGTCAATCAAATGGCTTAATTTAAGGATATGAGAGTTTTACTAAATTAAAATCTTTGATATTTAAATTTTAGGACGAGTGAAGGTTATTATGATCCTAAAAAATCTACTAGTTTAATTAAAAGAAAACTCAATGAAAGTAATTTAGACATACAAATCTACACACTAACTAATTTTTTGAAGTAATTGAATGGTTCAACAAGAAGAAATTACTACAAAAAGATCAACATCTAGATTAAAAAAAAGAAGGTGGAAAATATCTAAGAAATTTAGGAGTATTTTTTTAAATTAATAAATTTGATTTTTTTAAAAAAAATTATACTTTTTAATTCCTTATGGATTGAAATTTGGATGAAATTTGAGTTGAGATCAATGGTTTAATTAATATTATTGAAATTTTAAAATAATTATTAAAATTGATTAGGATTTATTTAGAATTTTCTTGAATTTAATTAAGATTGGATTAGTATTCCATTAAAAATATTTTTGATTATATTAAGATTTGATTAGAATTTAATTAAGATTTCTATTTTTAATATTTAAAAAAAATACATTTCTTTAGGATTTTATTATATATATTTTAAAAGATTAATTTATAATTTTTTATATTTCTTTTGTAATTTCTTTATGACTTCTTTTGGATTTGATTAAAGATGAAATAACATTATTAAGATTTAATTAGATTTTTTTCAATATTCTATTAGAGTTATTTGGACTTTTTTGTTACAAATTCTATTTTATTTTCTACAACTATGTACTTAGTGCATTCTCAAGAATACTTCATGCTATATAACAAAATTATATTAAAATCATGGAATTTTAAAATGTATAGATTGATCCTAATCAAACATTCAAATACATCATTAAGGAAACATAATATTGGTCTATTTAACAAAATCACACCTAAACTTTGGTCAATCTACCTTTGGAAAAAACTTCAATCACTTTTTGTTGGATCTTTAAGTTTAAACCATGGATAAAGCCTAATTAATTACCTATGGATTCTAGCAAAGACATGGTATTAATTATCAAATTTTTTTTGTACTTGTTGTAAAATAGAAATCAATTTTCGCCCTAGTTGGCATTATAATTCACAACAATAAGGAAATCCAGCAAATAGACGTCCAAATAGCTTTCTTCAAAAAACATATAAATGAAGAGGTCTACCTAGAAGAATCCGAAGGCTTTGCCATATTTGGACAAGAATATAAGATACATTGTGCATTGTGCAAAACTTCATTGTGCACTTTATGAGCTCAAAAAATTTTAAGAACTTAATATATTCATATAGATTAATATCTTTGCAACCATCATATATACAAGTCGACTATGGATTATAATGTTTATTACTAAAATGATCACTGCAACATTGTGATCTTACTCTTATATGTTGATGACTTAAAAATTACTAAGAGTCTATCTCATCTCATAGCCAAACTCAAGTACTAGCTCAATAGAACATTTGACATGACCGACTTGGATTCTATACACAAATTTCTTGGTGTTTAATACACTCACATTCCTAAAAGACTCATCCTTCATCAAAAAAATTATGCATATCAAATTCTCAATAATTTCAATATGAAAGTTTTCGATTCAGCATATATTTTCATTAATGAAGGTCTAAAACTATAAGAAGAAAAAATTAATTCTTTAATCAGTAATTATTTTTAAAGTAATACTATTTTTAAAGATATTTTTTTAAAAGATATTACAATTGCCACCACAATATTTGCTACTACCACAACCAAAATTCTCTATCTACTATAAGTCACTTTTGTTCAAAATAAGTGAGAGCAATAAAAAAATCTCCATTTAATAACTTTTCAATCATTTAATTAAATAATTTTTAAATAGAATAAAAATAAAACCAAAAGAAATATCAAATAAGTGGCAGATTGTGGTGGTAATAGCAAAAATTATGGTGTCATTAGTAATAATTTTTTAAAATCTTTTATATCTTTCATAATATAATTTTTAAAATTTATACATCAAAAAAATAAAACATGTCATTTATTATTATTATTATTATTATTATTATTATTAATACTACATAATCATTAAAGATGTATATAAAATTCAAAACTATATCTACTATTGATTCTAATTAAAAATTATTTAATTCTAACTGCATTAAAGATGTTAAAATTCTAAATTATAATCTTTAAATTTTATTTTTAAATAATTTAGTTAAAAAAAATTCTAAAGATAAAAATTGATTTAATCTTAAAAACATAAAATCTAGATTTTTGCATACTTTAAATCATAAAATCTTTAAGTTTATTATAACATAAGATATGACATGCATCTTAAAAAAATAGGTACAATATTTGACAAATCAATTTTCAAGTGATACAAGATTGGTTAAGCCATTTTATAATCATTCTACTTTTTTGGAATCATTTTTGTCTAAGTATATAAAAAAATATAATATACTAAAGACAATATCATCAATCTTTGTTTAGAAATATTACATTGGTGATAATGACTAAAATACAAAAATCAACTAAAAATTCAAATATAATTCTTTTTTATATTTTAATACATAAAATATATTATTAATTATATTATATTAATAAAATTAAAGATCATTATTACTAAATTAAAATAATTTTATATCTAATATTGATAAAAAAATAAGAGAAGAAATTATAGCATATTATTTCTAAATTAAGATAATGATTCAAATCTAAATATGTCAAAGATTTCAATGTATTAAAGATATCATCTCCAATATTTATTTTTATTCAATCT